CGTGTTCTTCATTCACCCCGATCTTGAGTGCTGGTTGCGTCACGACGGCGTCGGTTGCGATGCCGTTGGCTCCCACTGTGGTCGCCAGCTTGTTTGCGGAAAAAGTCGCTGTATTCATTGCTGCATTCATTACAACTTTGATCGTTACAATGAAATAAAAAGATAGTCTTTTTATAAGACCGATACACAATGAAAACAAAATAAATGCAACTCCTTTCAAACAAACGCAAGAGCTGTTTGTCATCTCTTGCTTGCGTGGGTCTTTGGCCTGTGACGGGGATGTTGATATCCGTGGACCACCGGGGCAATCAGATCTGTTCCGAGAAAATCGGGCAGAGCTTCGTCTATCCGCGGAGGGATATAGAAGCAGAACTTCGTCGATCCGCGTGGGATCTTAGAAGCTATAAGCGTATACCTCGGCTAAAGCGAGGTTATTAGCTCTTCTTAGTATTAACGCTAAGGCTAATACTAAGGCTCGGACGGGTGATGAAGGCTCTGATCAAGACCTCTCCTCCTCTTGTTGAAGCACACGGGCACTCTTTACTGCAGCAGGGCTTCGCCAAGCTCTCGCGTATACCTCGGCTAAAGCGAGGTATTAGCTCTTCTTAGTATTAACGCTAAGGCTAATACTAAGGCTCCGACGGGTGATGAAGGCTCTGATCAAGGCCTCTCCTCCTCTTGGTGAAGCACACGGAAAAGTGAGGACACCCCTTGGGGTGTCTCGGAAATTCCGAGACACCCCTGGGGTGTCTCGGAATTTCTGAGACACCCCTGGGGGTGTTTCGGAACTCCGAGACGTCCGTTGGTGTATTTGATCGTTTCACCCGTAGATTCTTCGTACGAACTCGGATTTGAGTGATTCCGGGTGCGTTGGATGCGTGACGAAGAGTTCGATCCGCTCTGATGGTTGGATTGTCTTTAGAGTGGTCGAGGCACGGAGGGCATTGTCCTTTTCGTGAGCAGTGCCGGGCTTCCGATTGGCACGGGTCTTCGTTGTTCCGAAATCCTATCCGCTCACGTGGCTCGTCGATTCACTTCAATCGTTCGTCGACGTCGATTAGGCTCATGTGGATTGGATGGTGACGTTCATCGTTGATCGTTAACACTGAACCGGTTGTGGAGAACTATAGGCAATTTTCGATGCCTCGTCGATTCACTTCAATCGTTCGTCGACGTCGATTAGGCTCATGTGGATTGGATGGTGACGTTCATCGTTGATCGTTAACACTGAACCGGTTGTGGAGAACTATAGGCAATTTTCGATGCCTACAATTCGCATCCCTAGAATCTGCTTCGCTGTACCCAGATCCTTCATTGCAAATTATTTTGCTAGCTGCTTCTTCAAACTGTTTATCTCCTCCAAACACGGTCCTGCTACCAACATGTCATCAACATATAATAACAAAATAATAAAGCTGGACTCGAACCTTTTGAAATAACAGTAATGATCTGAATTGCATCTTCTGTAGCCATTATTCTGCATGAAGTTATCAAACTTCTTATACCACTGTCTCGGAGCCTTCAAACCATATAAGCTCTTCTTGAATTTGCACACCATCTCTTTCTTTCCTTCTTCAATAAAACCAACAGGCTGCTTCATGTAGATTTCTTCATCCAAGTCACCATGAAGAAAGACAGTCTTCACATCTAACTGCTCAAGAAAGAGGTCTTCTGTAGCCACCAAACTCAACACCACTCTGATGGTTGTGAGTTTCACAACAGGGAAAAATATCTCCGTATAGTCCACTCCTTCCCGAACCCCTTTAATACTAATCTGGCCTTGAATCTCTTGCTTCCATCACTCGCTTGTTTGACCCGGTAGACCCATTTGTTATGTAAGGTCTTCTTCTGTGCAGGTAGCTGTGCTAACTCCCATGTCTCATTAGTCAGAAGAGAATCCATCTCCTCCTGCATCGCGTGCTCCCACTACTGAGATTCACTCACTTGCATTGCCTCTTCATAGCTTTCCGGCGCACCGCTATCTCTCAATAATAAGTAGTCAAGAGATGAAAGATATTTGAGATTTGGTTTGGGTACCTAGATGACCTCCTAAGCTCCAGGCCCTGGGTAGTTTCTTCTGCACTGGGAGCCTCCTCAGTTGTGGTTAGAACAAACATCATCTCCCATATCTGGAAGTTCCTCTATATCCATGTACTCAAATCCATCTGTATCTGAAATACTGCTCCCACTACTTTGGCTATCCTTGGCATCTTCTTTGTTCTTGTACATCACATCCTCATTGAATATCACGTCTCTGCTTCTGATGATCTTCCTGTTCTTCTCATCCCAAAGACGATACCCGAACTCATCAATGTCGTATCCAATAAATGTGTACTTCTGTGACTTAGCTTCTAGCTTGTCTCTGACATGGTCACTGATATGAACATAAGCCACACAACCAAATACCCGCAAGTGTGAGAGATTTATCTTCTTTTTACTCCAAACCTCCTCTAGAATCCCAAAATCCAATGGAACTGATGGCCTGTGATTAATAAGGTAAGCTGCTGTATGCACCACATCCGCCCAAAATATCTTAGGCAGACCTCCATGTAATCGTATGCTCCCGGCACGCTTTGTGAAGGTCCTGTTCATCCTCTCCGCAATGTCGTTCTGCTACGGTATCCCTGGAGTAGTCCTCTCTAAGCGAATGCCATTCGTAGCACAGAACCTCTTGAACTCCTCCAGCTCGTATTCTCCACCATTGTCTGATCTCAGACATTTCACCTTCAGATCTGTCTCATTCTCCACCATGGCCTTCCACTTCTTGAAGATTCCAAACACCTTTGACTTGTGCTTCATGAAGTAGATCCATACCTTTCTCGAGTGATCGTTGATGAAGGTGATATAATATCTCGAACCGCCAAAAGAAGACACACTGGCTGGACCCCATACATCTGTATGAATCAACTCTAGCTTCTGAGCCTTAGGTGGCCTTCCACCCTTCAGAAAACTAACCCTCTTCTGCTTCCCAAAGATGCAGTCTTCACAAACCCCGACTTCCACTGTATCGATCCCGGTTAGCTTTTCTTGTGAAAGTAAAATCTTCATCCCCTTTTCGCTCATGTGCCCTAGCCTATTGTGATACAGATCTGTACTCTCTTTGTCACCTGCAATTGTGAGCGTGTTACTCGTATGTAAGGTGAGATAGAGAGTTCATAGTTTGTTGTCTCGAGCAACTATCATCGTACCGTTGGAGATTCTCCACGAATCCACTGTGAATGTCGAAACATAGCCTTTTGCTCCAAGCTGTCCCACCGAAACAAGATTCCTCTTTAGCTTCGGTACATGTCTCACATTCTTCAAGGTCCACTTAGAGCCCTTCATCTGAATCTGCACTTCACCCTTTCCAACAATATTACAGGGCTCGTTATTCCCCAAATATACTTTTCCAAAGTTCCCTGCTACATAATTCTGAAATAGCTTCCTGTTAGCAGTGGCGTGAAAAGAAGCTCCTTAATCGATAACCCAAGAATCCGAGTCGCAATCCATATCAAGGATCAAGACATCCTGCACGATATGAGCCTCCTGCTCACCCGTATCCTTCTTTGGACTTTTGCAGACTGAAGACATATGACCCTCCTGGCCACAGTTCCAATACTTCCCTTTGATAGGCCTAACCTTTGAGTTCGACCTCTTCTTCACTGATTTCGACTGATTCTTGTTCTGGTTTTCTTTCTTCTGGCTTCTACCTCTTTGCTCGAGGTATAGAGCTGAACCTGAACCTTTCGATTCGGACGATTTCCTTCTAACCTCCTCGGATAGAATCATGCTAACAACCTCACTCAGCTTTAACTTCTCCTTTCCCGTCGAATTGCTGATTGTCGTCACACAACCTGCCCAACTATCCGGCAACTGCGATAGAATCAATAGGGCTTGCACTTCGTCATCAAACGTGATATCCACAGAGATAAGTTGATCCACAATCGTGTTGAACTCGCTGAGATACATCGTGAACGACCGTCCTTCTGCCATCTTAAGGTTAAAAAGAGTTTTGACTAGATGCACCTTGTTTGCTGCCGACGGTTGCTTGTACACATTCACGAGCGCTTCCATAAGCCCCACCGTCATCTTCTCCTTCAGAATATTGTGGGCTACTGATTTGGCGAGCGACAACCGGATTTGCCCTAGAGCCTTCCTATCCAGTATCTCCCAATCACCATCTAACTCCTCCTTTTTTTTTCCTTTTCCTTATCTATCAACGGACGATACAAGTCCTTCTGGTACAGATAGTCCTTCATATGCGACTTCCAGTAGGCGAAGTCTGAACCGTCAAACTTCTCGATCTTTGATTTGTTTTCCTCTGCTATGGCCTTCACACAAATTGCTGAACGAAGCTCTGATACTAGTTGTTGGGGATTCGAAACAATCAATCGAACCCTTGCCCTTCCGGACCTTGTGTTGAAATTATGAAAGTAGGAATAATATCACAAATAAAGATCTAACCTTGCAAAAATAGTAAAGGAGACGAACACACAGATTTAACGAGGTTCGGCAACGTGCCTACGTCCTCGGGAGCTACACCACACAATCTCTTTATTAATTGAAGAAGAATTGCAAGCTCTCAAACTAGAGTTTAATCTCTCTAAGATTCTCTATCTTCTTGCAGTCAAAAAGCTCTTTTTTTTCGTGTTGTTACAACCCTAAAAACGTTTAAGGTATATATAGAGTCCTGCGGAAAACAAAATCCCAAATAGTTTAGGAAACTATTTGACTGCGTCGCGGTCGACCGCAGCGGTCGACCGTGCCAAACGACAGAAGCTCCCAGATTTCCAAAAAGTTGAGCGGTCGACCGAACCAAAAACCCGAGACTAAAAATCCTACAGGGTTGGCGCGGTCGACCGCCGCGATCGACCGCCTTCAGCTTCAGCTCCTCCCAACTCTTGTGCACGTTCGCGATCGACCGCCGCGGTAGACCGTGGATCTGTCTGCAGGTTTTTCTCGTCGTTTTGATTCCAGCTCTTGTCTCGACTTTGAGTCTACACCTTAGACTAACATCCCAGTCATAGTTCTATTCTGAAAGTAGGAAGGCTCATTGATGGTTACCTTGCAGAAATTGCAGCCGATCCTTGTCTGAATCTGCAAAGGTTCATGGCCATCATTGAGCTGTTGCCAGATTATGCTCGAGTAATTGAGGATGGTCTCTACCGAGCTATTGATATATATTTGAAGGTAATATCTACTACGTTAGGTTTCTAATGCGCATGTGCAGAAAATTTTCAATTTAAAAATAATTATCCAGTTTTTCTTTTGTTAGTATATCAGCTTCATCATGCTGTTATTTTCCTAACGTTTTCTGGAATTATAACAAAAATCTTCCAAATTCTGCTGCGTTTAGGCCCATCAAGCTAGAAAGTAATCCAATTCTATCGACAGGCTCAACGAATCTTCTCTTTGGCAAATAAATATAGTACTTTTGATTATTTGATCTATCATACTGTTATTAACTGTCAAAGGTGTGCTGCGTTAGGATGGTGGTACATGTTAGAACAATGATTTTAAAATGAAAGCTATTTGTTTCTATTGTTTCTATATGTGTATTACGGGTTTCTTTTAGGGATTTTTTAGATATCACTCACTTCAATCTTTCATCTTTTAAAATTTGTCCCTTAAATCATTGAAATTGCGATTAGGCCCCTTAATTCTCCAATTAAATTAGTCCCTCATATCTTTGAAATTGCTATAAGGTCCTCAGATCTTAATTTACTATGAAATTAGTGTCTCCAATCAAGAGGGGAAGTAGATATTAGATCAATTAATTTGGAACTTCTAAGACTTTGCGACCTAATAGCAATTTCAATGGTAGGAACTAATTTTCCTGTGATTTCTACGTCCACTATGGATTGGAGGAAGCAATTTTAAAATAACTTAAGAACTGTGACACCTGTTAGCAATTTCAATGATTTGCTGGACTAATTTCAAAATATGGAAGATGTAAGGGACTAATATTGAACTACCTTTCTTTTCGAGTGAAAAGACCTAGCTTAATTTATTGAAATGAAGGAATTGGAAATTTTCACTACTAAATAATGAGGCATCCTAGACGGAAAATTCCGTCTAGGATACCTTGAATTCCGTCTAGAATGCGTATTCTAGACGGAATTCCGTCTAGAATACGCGTCTAGTATGTTTCCGTCTAGGATGCAGTATTCTAGACGGAAATTCCGTCTAGAATACATTCTAGACGGATTATTCTAGACGGAATTCAAAACCGTCTAGAATACATCCTAGACGGATTATTCTAGACGGAATTTCCGTCTAGAATACTACATCCTAGATGGAAAAAATTTCCGTCTACGATGAGTATCCTAGACGGAAATTTCCGTCTAGGATAGTCATCCTAGACGGAATTTCCGTCTAGGATGTTTTAAATTTTTTTTTAATTTTTTTTCAAAAAAACAAATATCCTAGACGGAATTTGAGCATCCTAGACGAAATTTCCGTCTAGGATGCTATGCTACAGTAGGTTTTTTTTTTTTTTTTTTGCAAAATCTACTTTGAGTGCATGTACACTTTTTTTTTTTTTTTTTTGCAAAATCTACTTTGAGTGCATGTACACAATATTGAACAAAAAAAAATTATATTCATATCAAACACAATCTAATTATATTCCAATATCAAATCCAATTATATTCAAATAATACATTTACCAAAATACTAGAGAGATACATAAATTGTTTACAAACTTTTACATAAATTGTTTACAATCTTTTACATAAATTATTTACAAGGGATGTCAGTGCATCGGCAAACAAGTCTACCAGAAGCATGCCACCCGTTGAAACCGCAGTCCAATACCATAATCTTGTTGATCCCTGCATCATCTTTCATTTCTGATAGGTAATTTGCAAACATCTGTGCACAAGTTGGACCCCTTACCTGGAGAAGAACAGGAGATTCATCAGCCAAAGAACTAAGTATCTGTCATGATTATTTTTAACCACGGAAGGATTATTGATTAGTTTAAAAAAAGGAATTCCGAAAGAGGAATTAAAAAGTAAACTTTTTTCTTGCTATATTCAGAAGAACAATAACAATAATTAGATCAAACGAGGTGAATTTTAGCTTATCTTCTTTTGCAGGGGAGAACCAAACGCAGTCATCCAATTCATGTCAAGTACCTACATTAGACATCTTCAACAGAAAAAAACACTAATAAAGAAAGAACTGCAAACCCCTCAATATCAGCTTGTCAGCGTTAACAAAATCTCGTTCACCCATGTTCACCTGAAGGGAAATTATCAGTTTCTTCAACCAAGCATATAAAATACAAGAATAAAGTACCATAGTTAATGAACTATGTAACAAGACAACAAGGAATCATTATTGAGATATGAGTTCTCCATTGATCAGCTAGAAAGTGGTCAAATGACAATTCTTAGTTGATTTGTAAAGACATCTGTTTAGAGAAACAACTGGAGGTATGCCGCGAATAGAGTAGGAGAACAGAATCTCAAAGAGCCAGAATGTGAGTTCTACCATTTTCAGTTACTGAGACTTAATAAACACAATAGAATAGTTCTTCTAGATGATTAATCTATGAACTCTAAAGTAATAAAATTAGCGAGGTTTCACAAGAAAAGTTACAGTTCAATTTTGAGTTAAACCTTTTGTGTTGCATCATTTGACAAAGTTTCAAGATAGTTGTCAACTTGACATCAGCTTTCTCTTAATTGAACAAAATTCCTTGTCAAGGACATATGCGAACTTCCTTGTCAAGGACATATGAGCAAGGAAGCGCCTTGCCAGAAATCATAGATGACTTGGTGTCATTCAATCTGGGAAAAATTTCTAGAAAAAATGAAAAGATGTCTGTGGGGGACTGTTAGACTTAGAAATACACCAAAAAGACTAGAACCAAGGAAGTTGTTAAAGGGATAACTATCTGTAGAGTATCCTTGAAAATGAAAATGAACACATTAACCATGCATAAACATTATCATAGACCATTTATACATAAACTATTCAAATCAAGAACTCAAAGATGTACTTGAAATCAATAGAAGAACTAATGTGTTAAGCCAATGTTGCTCGATTTGTGCTAGCTCGTCAGATAGCAATTTGTAATTTTTTAAGTAGATTTCGACTAATACCATCACATTCCACATTATAGCCCCACACTTGAATATTTGGGTTTTGCTTCTCTCAGAAAAAAATAACTTTCTTTGGGTATGATTTACGAACATCAGTTTGTTATTCAAAAGTAAGACAAAATGTTGATGCTGCCCCAAAAATTTCACTTCCCATGATGCAATTACAACCAAAAGTTCAAAAGTAAGACAAAGGGTTGAAGGAAAAAAGAAACATAAATAGCTTGTATACGATGACTTGAGGAAATTATGTGCATACGATGACTCATTCCACTCTACGGACACACATAGCTATCCACAGACACTCGCCAATTATCACTTATTGCAAAATTTCACCAATATTTCATAACGCATCGCCAAATTTCTACAGTTCTCCGAAAGATGTCCTTATATATTCACAATGTAGCTTCTTAAACCAAACCATAAATGCACGAAATCTAACATTTAGGGGAAATCAACGCCATAAACCCTAAGAGAACCGAAATACAAAATTTCCCAACAATTAATACAAAATAAACATCTAGATCACCCAAATTGGCATTAAAACATGCAGCCAATCTAACTAGTTCAACAATAGACTAAAAATGAAAGCATACATCGCAAATTGGGGCCAGAGTACAAAATTACCTTGCTGATGACGCGATAGGAGATGTAGGCTTGAACTCCATTCCCTAACTTCACCGGGTCGGTGACCGTAACCGATAGAAACGGCTGCGACGA